TCAAAAAATCAAATGCCCCAGTACCCCACATATGCCCGACCCCCCACCTCTGGGGCTTAATTTAACATTGATAGGTGCATATAAACATTGCCTTCTTGGTTAAACAAGTAAAACTACAACAAAGCCAATCTTTCTTTGTGTACCGACTCTCCTGAAAGCTTCTATCTCCAGGGGTCGATTGTATAAATTCGGCATAATTGACCGTTGTGTTACAATTGTATTTTGCTCGCCTGATTGACGAGCCGAGCGAGGAGCAGAGAAAGGTTTCTTCAGCATATCACTTATAATATCTGCTTATGTGGAAGCCGTCACGCTTCCTTCCCGCTTACTTTGATCAGTTGACATCTGAACGGAGTATTCCACTAATTCGAGCGTGAATTATCTCGAACAAAAAGACTGTATCAAAGGACAAAGGCTCAAGTCATGCTCTGGAAAATGAGCATGACTAGATGTTGCGAAACAGCGCGTTTGAGCATGCGCAGTTGCCATTATCCAATCAGATTGCCAGTATTTCTACTATAAAATATATTACTTGGTCATGCTGATTTCAGAGGGCATGACTAGACCGCGAAATGCGTGGAACATGCTGTACACTACCCTGGATTCCAAAGCCTTCGACAGTAAATAATAAATTGAAATGTCGCGAAGGCTCTGGTTCAACGGGGAGATTCTTTGATTGAACCGCGCCAATCACAAAACAGAATTAGTGGTTTTAGTACAAATTATGTACTAAAACCACTAATTCTGTTTTGTGATTGGCGCGGTTTAATCAAAGAATCGCCCCGTTGAACCAGAGCCTTCGCGACATTTCAATTTATTATTTACTGTCGAAGGTTCTGGAATCCAGGGCAGCTGTACACACGAAATTCACACGATCGAACTCGCCATGTTTGTTGCTAGGTAACCTATGCAAATGAGCAATATTTTGCCGAAAATGACATAATATAGCGAAATCTTGTCTAAAGTACTTGTGAAAGTTTCGAAAAGCTAAAAGATTTGAATTTGAATTTTAGCGGAAAGAAATTATTTATTTTTGGGAAAATTTTTGGTTGACCAGCATGACCGCTAGCTACGCCACTGTTAAGATTTACATAGAAATTCATATTGGATCGTATAGAAATTCTTGCATAACCCTCGAGCTGCCTAAAAGAGTTATTTACCAAGGTGAAGGAAAAAGAGAAACAACTAGTCAAAAAAATTTATTAAAGATGAAAATGTGGCAAATATAACAGGTATATTTACAAATAACATACTAATTTAGGCTATTTATCTAATAAATTGAAATGTCGCGAAGGCTCTGGTTCAACGGGGCGATTCTTTGATTAAGCCGCGCCAATCACAAAACAGAATTAGTGGTTTTAGTACAGATTCTGTACTAAAACCACTAATTCTGTTTTTTGATTGGCGCGGCTCAATCAAAGAATCGCCCCGTTGAACCAGAGCCTTCGCGACATTTCAATTTATTATTTACTGTCGAAGGCTCTGGAATCCAGGGTAGTGTTGAAGAAGGATGTTCAAAAACTTGAAATCCTTTCTATTTAAAGTGATCCTAAGTTGAAAACAGTGTGGTTGTGACGTAATTATCGAAAGGGTGTATTGTAAAAGGGTTTTGTAGATGGAAATTTCGAGTGCAAATTTTATACATTCATTAGAACTAGCCAGGTTAGTTGCGGAAAATGCAACTATATGACCTGTAGAATCGAACATGCTTGACTGTGCCCTATAGACACCAAGGCCGAGTTGTCTAATCGTTTTATACATTCCTATACTGCAAGCACTATATTGGATAGAAAACTAAGTAGTCAGTAGTTCCTCCTGTAGAAAACGATGGCCCTTATACTTGATCACTACCGACAGAGAAAGGTTTTGCGTAACAGACCCTATAAACAACCAACGCCGCGGGACTGGAACTGGAAAGAAATGTTATCAATTTTATAGGTAACGAAACGACCTTTACATGGAGACCAAACAGAATGTCACATACAGTTCATATAGGCTCCCGTGTATGATTAACCAAATTTCAATAGTTGTCGTTGTCTTTGCCATGCAATTGAACCCATTTTAACGAGATGTACTCGCGACTTGTATATTCTTGTGATGTCTAATTCAGAGCAAGGAAATGTGATGCCATGCATGTCAACATAAAGTAAAACTTAAGCTGGATGTGAACCGGTACAGTATATCTAATCAAGAGCAAAATGGCTACTAATCTCAAAGCTATAACTAATGTCTTTGCGACATTCGTTTGCGTGCTGCACTAGAAACACGACTAAAAACGAAGATTGAAGTAGAAAAATGTATAATTAATAATCTTTATTTTAATTAATACGATTGGTGTTTAATTACGCATACAATCTTCTGGGTTAATCGTGTATAACTTATACCAAAAACTCAAAGGCATTAATAATTTATGATAAATTAGCCAACCATATTTATTTAAAACGAGAATTCCTTAAAAGAATTTCTCAACAACCGCATTTAATAAAGAACTTAAAGTTGCATGATATTCCTATAGATGCATAGTTACGTTTGCTGTTATATAGCATTTCACAGTGCCGTAAACTGTATAGGTTATATCTTCTAGAATTTTTATCAAGTCAGCGGTGGAACTCCTTTGAACTGTTTGGGCAAATTTTACATTTTTTCAGCATAGCCGATTCCTTCTACACAACCCCCCCCCCTCCCATTGCCACTTTCAATGGGCAGGACGAGGGAGTAATTAGAGTCACGTCTATATTCATTATTCAGACATTGAGTTGGGTATTTCATTATTTGGTACTGTATGTTCATAAATTCTCAGCAATGCTGTTGCTAATAGCCTAAATACTTTATGGCCGAGCAAGGTGACATTTAACTATTCTGTCAAGATATAAGTGGTTTTGTCGCCTTAAAACATAGCTACTGTAGGAAAATAATCTGATTATTCCGAATGCTTGAGGAGATCTTATCTCTATAATATATATCGCGCTAACATCTCGATCAGTGTGAGCACTGATGCATGTACTGTTTATATATGCACTGTATATATATATATATATATATATATATATATATATATATATATATATATATATATATATATATATATATATATATATATATATATATACTAATTATAATCTTAAGATTTTATTAATCGCTACACAGTGTTTCACGCTTTCAAAGCGATCTTCAGGCGATACTACTCTAAATAGTTTGCTTGCGCCATTCATTCAACGGTCCGCTGACGCGATTGCATCATGCGCGCGTGCGTTTAAAATTCCGCGCGCCAAATGAGTTTATGTGGCGGCACTTTGAAAATAGTTCTGTTCGTTTGTTCAACGTCCTATCTTTGTGAGATTTAATTATATAAAACTTCTCCTCTAAGCAAAGGTTGCAAGAATTTGCACCTGCTGTATAGGCTGATGCATGCGACAAAACCGACCACTTTATAGTATACGGTCGGTTACTTTGTTTTAGCTTTCATGCGTACTTAGAAAGTTCGGTTTCGTTTGAATAGCGAGGTGAGTTGATGGATTTCTTGTGGTTGGCGTATCTTGCTTTAAACCTCCCTGCTGTCATACCAATATACTCTTTCGTTTCACCGACGTCTGTTGTTGTAATCTCAGCCTTATACACGATGCTTTTCGTAAGACAATTACCATCGAGAGGGCATTCGTCCTTGTTGCGGCAATTACATCCATCGAATGATTTGTTCTTTCTTACCAGTAGATGTCGATTGTGGATGGATATAGTGTTCTTAATGTTGGTCATGCAGGAATAACTCACTTTCACGGTGTTCCGGTTAAAGATTTTATGGAGTCGAGTTGAATGTGGGAAGTGCTTACTGAAGGGCGGGTTAAACCATATCACCTTTCTTTGTCGTTTTTTTTCTGTTTGGTGTTGGGGTGTCGCCGGTACTATTGGTTGAATATTGGAGTTTGACGTTGTAATTTGCTGCGGTGAAGTGCGTCTTCGTACAATGCTGCTGATGAATCAAAAGATAATTGATCAGAGGATAAGCTAGATATTCTTTTGCTTATGGATTCTGGGACACGCTTGATGATAGAAGGGGGGTGATTTGACCGGCTGTCTATATAGAGAGGGTCGTTATTGGGTTTTCTGTAAGCTGAATATCTCCCTGTTTGCAGATTGAAGGTTACGTCCAAGTAATTGACGATTTGGTTGTTAACTTCGGCAGTGATATTAAAGCCAAGTTTGTGAAATATGCAATGTAGAGACTTTCGAGCGTTGTCTGCCAATCTTTTTCCGGTTCCACTCAACAACATAACGGTTTCACTCAACGGTTCCACTCAAACGAACAGAACTATTTTCAAAGTGCCGCCACAGAAACTCATTTAGCGCGCGGAATTTTAAACGCACGCGCGCATGATGCAATCGCGTCAGCGGACCGTTGAATGAATGGCGCAAGCAAACTATTTAGAGTAGTATCACAGAGTAAGGATATACAGAGGCGGAACTCGAGGCAAATCATGTCCCCACTTTTTTAATGCGCATGCGCGACCCTCTGGCAAGTGTCATGCACATTTTTTATCAGGAAAAAGATAGGGAAATGCAAAATTTTGGCAGTAAAACGGCGATTTTAAGCGCAGTAAACGATCTATCTTCATTTTGTGCACGAATTTTGCAAATAAATGGCACACTGCGTCTTCTTAGCAAAAGGGAATTGAACGAATACCATTTTTAACGGCGAAAATGAGAAAAGACACCCGAAGGAGTGAGAATTTCTGGCAATCTGAAGATTCGATTCTGTAGACCTGAACTCCAGCTGGAACTTGGCAACTTTATATGTGAGTTTTTTTTCTCTAGCTCATATATATCAAATTATCAATATATTTTTGTCAAGTGCAATGTTGTATCAAAGGGTTGTCGTTAATTTAAACATTGCATAAACAACATTCAGATACGAAAATGAACATCAACATTCAACATGGACTGATGGAGTCAAGGACATGGAGCCACAGTACTCTAGTACTACTATATTTAACTTATATATTGACCCAGTGTTGGGGGATTGGTCAAATTATACTTTATAGTGATTCCCCTAGATTAGTGCATTGGTTATTGTGCAATGACAACCTTTTTTCAGAGACCTCTCAAAGGTCAATTTCTCAGACATGCCAAGTCACTGTACATGTTTAATAATCTAATCTGTTTATTTATTTTGTTTATTTTTCTAGATTGCCAATCATTCCTGTTGAACTACATTATTCATTTCAATGAATCAGATGCAGAATCTTACAACTATGGTTAATTTGTTCAAATTTGTTCACCTGATTGGGGAAAACCTGACACTATTTGATCTTATTAGTTATTGGAATGCCTATCAAATTTACATAGCCTCAGGCAATGTTTATATAATTCATCTCGAGTAATAGAGATGCTGTACCCCCTGAGGGAGTGACCCTACTACCTGGATCATCCCACTAGGCAAGACAGGTTCAAAACTTTCCATGCATTTAACACTTGCATGGCAGTTGCTATAATAGGATATGATAGTTGCTATAATAGGATAATATAATTTTGCCTTGCCAGGGTGGCTCAGGGGATAGGATTTCCCTAGTACCTGGAGACCATATAAACAGGTCTTCAGATTACTGTAATAGTTTACTGTAATGGAGGGTTAAAAAAGCACCCCCCCCCCCATGTAAAAGTGCATGGTAGGCCTGCTCCCCAATCCAGCCCCCCTTGGAAGATGTACTGCAGTAAAGCTAGACAATTTTACTTGTTAACCCATTGAGTCACTTTGCGCCCTACTTTATTATTTTACTCTGTCTATTGTCTAACACCAGACGATCCAGTTAACCTATTGAGTTACATTGTGCCCTGATGCACCCTACTTTATTATTTTACTCTGTCTAACGCCAGACGATTTTACTCGTCAAGGGGAGAGCACACTTGAACAGGGAAAGGATTAATTGGGAATACTTTCTCTAAACTATTTATCAATGAAAGGAACAATGCAATTATTCATAGTATGTAACTTTTTAGATAAAGCAAAGACTGTAGGAGGAAACATGGATCATTGGCTACTTTTTTTATTTAGTATTAATTTCCATGACAGCATGTGGGTCAACTATAAAGGAAACAGTTATTGCCTATTTTGGAATAAAAAATTTAGAATATAGCAATATTCATTGACATTGAACACATATTTATTTAGTTTTTGAATAATTTAAGTTCTTAAATGTATATAAATGTGAAATAAAATAAACAACATTTATTAAAATAAACTTTGTATTTTTAAACCCCAATTACACTGTAGTATTTACATTTCACTGTAGTATTTACACAGTAGTAATTATACAGTAGTATTTACATATTACAAGACCTCAACCAACATCATTCCTTGGAGTTTCTCACGACAAGACGTCTCAACCAAGATCCTCTGGAGAACTTCTTTGGCCTCATTAGGCAGCAGGGGGGGGGGGAATTGTGACAACCCATTAGTCCCATCCAGTTCACCAGAGCATTTTGCAAATTATTTGTAGATAATATTTTGACACCGCTTTCATCTGCCAACTGTGCTGATGATTCTGATGCCTATTTGATTGCATTTCACTCTAGCCAATCTGATTTATCTGCAGGAAATGATTAGACAAGCCCACCACTAATCCAAGCAGTTGAAGATACCGACTACAAAACAAATGAAATTGAACAAAACTTAGTCTGCATTAACTTATGTGTCAGACTATTTAGCAAGTGCCTTATCCAACATAGCTGTCCAATATGCCATCATAATTTTGTGACAAAGGATGTCAATGACAGTAGTCCCTGCTATTCTGCATGTTCAAGACCTCTGACCTTTGAAGGCATAAGCAGTGCAGGCGGATTAACAATCCGTAAAGAAACGTTTCTTTGCTGGAGAATACATTTGTGAATGTGCTTATTAAAACAGTTGCACAGAAAGTATTAAAAACATAGGTAGTTTAACTTTTAATTTTTGCTCACAAATCCCAAAGCTACATGGAACCTGATGGAAGTGTGCAATGGAAGTGTTTCAAATCAGCAACCATGCTTTCTTATTAATGTAAAAGACAGGAAAGCAATACGTTTGGCCATTAATTTAGCGAGATGGGAATCTGCTTCTTGGCAGAACATCACAAGCATTGTAAAATATGGCCATGCGGTACAAAGATTATACTGTTTTTTTTTTTTGTATTTAGCCTATAAACGTATATCTTTTTACATAAAAATAACTACTTACCATTTATCTTTCAAATTTGAGTCCCAAAATGAAGATCGGTGGAGCAACTTCGCAAAAATATTTATTTTTCTACTTTCGAACGGTGTTTTTCCTATGCTTTTGACTGAAAACACGACGAATGACACTTGCCAGAGCAATTTGCGTGGCGCGTGGAAATGACGTTGCACGGGGACACAAAGAACAAAGGAATTGCCGCGAGTTCCGCCTCTGTATACTCTGTGGTAGTATCACAGATGAGGTAAGTACAGATGTGAATCTCACGGCAAATTATGTCACACCGATTAAATAAACTTTAAAATTGTATTAATTCACTATTTTATTAAATTTTGATAATGCAGAGGAATAAAACTATACATATTATAGAAGTATTCATGTTTTTTTATGCGAGAGTTATGTTTTGAGGCATTTATATCATTCGCTGTTTTGTTATTTATACACGAGCATCTGAAATTCCCAGCAAGTGTATTTCACGATTTTAATAAGAAGTAGATAGGGGAAAAAACAAACTTTTGCTAAATAAAATGTTATATTAACACTTTTAATAAAAAGAAATCAATAAAAGTGATCGCTTACCGTTACTCTTGAAGAATTAATTCCAAACTGAATAGCCGTCGGTAGCGTAGACTTTTTTAAAAAACAATTTTTCGTTTTTCGAACGGCGTTTTCCTATCTCTTTCCTTATTAAATTTCAGAACGACACTTGCCAGCGCTCGCCGGAAGTGAGAATTCCGTGTGACACAAAACAATCAGCAATTTCACAGGAGATTCACATCTGTACGGCATCTGTGGTAGTATCGCCTGAAGATCGCTTTGAAAGCGTGAAACACTCTGTAGCGATTAATAAAATTTTAAGATTATAATTAGTATATTTTGCTCTATCAATTAAATTTGTTATTGAGCACTCTTTTTGTACAACGGACAACGATTTATTATTGTATATATGTATATATATATATATATATATATATATATATATATATATATATATATATATATATATATATATATATATTTTAATGTTTTTAAATTAGTTGAATTTGACATTCCGAAATATAATTCGCTCCACAATCTCTGTGTTGAGCACTCTAGCAAAGTGGACAAACCCAACTTGTATATATATATATATATATATATATATATATATATATATATATATATATATATATATATATATATATATATATATATATATATATATATATATATATATATATACCGGGTGGGGCAAAAAAAAGTACGACTGTTTGATTTACTATGACTTAAAAAGTAAAAGAGCTATTACACTTAAATAAGTCACCGTATATTCCACGATGTTTAACTTAAATTTTGATATATGTCTTGTATCTTTTCATGCAATATTGACAAAGATAACTGTGTTTAAACTTAAGAAAACATTTTTGGAACCGCCGAGAATTAGCTGAAAAGGCCCTATTAAAACCAATTGAATAACCGTTACCATTTTCTCGCGATTATTGTTTTAATTAGTGGGTTGGCTGGACGAGGTCAGTTGTTCTGGATCCACACTTTGTTGAATGAAATCTCGACACGAGAGAGTACCTCCAATTCGGATTGGGACAAGTTTATGTGCGATTCAAATAACTCCGGTTCTGAAGCACAATTTGAGAGAGCTTCGTGGAGCGATTTTTACAGAATGCCGCAACTTGAAACACCAAATGATCCAAAATGCTTTCGATTGTATGATTTCACCGGCAAGACGTTGCATTCGTGCTGGGAGACATGCAGTTACTGATGAATGTAGACGATTGTTTTTGAACCACAAGAGTGAACGTACTGACAATAAAGTATAATGCATCTTAACACAATTCATTGCATGTTTTATGTATTAATATTTAATAAGCCATTTTTAGCTAAATTCGTCAGTTCCAAAAATGTTTACTCCTGTTTAAATGCATGTATCTTTGACAATATGGCATGGAAATGCATGTGCATGGCATATATCAAAGTTTAAGTTGGATATCGCTGAATGTCAATAAACTTGTTTTAGTGTCATTGCAATTTTAGTTTTGATTTTGCAGCAATTCAAACAGTCGTACTTTATTTTGCCCCACCCGGTATATATATGACAAAAGCCAAGTACTCTGCTCAGCCGACAAGACTTCATATGTAACAAACAGAACGGCTACGTTTGAAGAAGTTTATTAAAAAAATATGTTAGATACAAACACTAAATTTTCGGCTGCATGCCAACAGCCATTCTGATGAAGGCTGTGGCATGCAGCCGAAAATTTAGTTTTTGTATTTAACATATTTTTTTGATAAACTTCTTCAAACGTAGCCGTTCTGTCTGTTATATATATATATATATATATATATATATATATATATATATATATATATATATATATATATATATATATATATAAAACGAAAAACTATATTACGCTCTATCTATATGGTATTGAGCACTGTTTGTGTTTCGTAAACCAAAATCTTAAGCTACATATATATATATATATATATATATATATATATTGAGGTCAGTAAGTTTTTTTTTATATGGCATTGTACGTTTGTAAAAAATGGAAAAAGGTCACGCGAGGGCAAAGTACAAAGTCCGAAACATTTGCAAAAAAGAACAATTGTAAAAAATGTTCTCTTGCTTAGTAAAACTACTCCACAGCACTTTTTATATAGAATACTAACATAGTTTGGATAGTATTTCAAGAAAAAAACGAGGTATTTCGTCATTTAATTATGGCGTTCCGTTGTGGACAAAATAGCGTAATTAAAAATTTATTCCAAATTAACGTATT